TTCGCCCTTGTTAAACTTCATGGGATTCTGTCTGTACTGGAACATTTGTTGGAGAGACGAATAATTTTAGACTTTCAGTGATTTTTAAAATTTATATAATTGATAAACTGATCTACTACTACTGCATTCACTCCGTCATTTTTGTACAGTTGGATAGTTCATTCGTATACAGTTCAACAGGTTACCTGCATTCAGGCATCTCAACAGTCTCAGTTTTAGTTTGTACAACCAGTACCGATGTACTTCTGTGTGCCGGTTTTGGTTGCTGTCTTTTGGCTGCTGCCCATTTGGATGAACATTAGGAGAAGAACAGGAAAGTTGAAGGTAGAGTCGAAGAGAAAATTGGAAACTTCATTGGACTAATGTTGCAAAAAAATTAAGATGCACGAACGACACTGTTTACGACACGCCCATATCACTCAATGTCTCCAACCATCGATTATGATCATAACGAGGTCCCCGTCCTAGGGGCCCAACGGGATCTATGTGACCAGACTCCTGGTTAGGGTTTTCATACCCTCGTGCCAGGTCTTAGCTTGACCACCCTTGGCTTTCTTCCAACCTGCCTCGACAAACATCGCCCGTCGGGGCAACCTATTTGGTGACATGTATAACACATGTTCCAACCAAAGCAATCTTTAGAGGGTGAAAAGTTGCTCCAGTGGGCGACCGTGACCATCTAAAACTCTGCGCCTAACCTCAGCATTGCTCGTCCGATTGCCTCACCAGATTCGTGCAATGCTGTATAGACAGCATCTCAACACGAATCGCTAACTTAAAAATTCCATTAAACTAACTACCGTCAACCAAACACATGGTGAAACATTGTGTTTTGTCCATTTCACATTGTTTCATTGGTGTTTGAGTTTCAGACTTTACAGATCAGTTCATTTGGTTTTTAGACTATAGTATTTTCAGTCTGGACATCTGATATGACGAATACTTTGAGAACAGAATAGGGGGGGGATAAAGATTGGATAGATGGACTATCAAAAGCAATTGGTACTGCAATGATTCAAATCACTTTGAAACCCCCCATCGTTACCGTGGATCATGTTTTTTGCTTATAATAATCATCTGTTCTTTGCTATCATTCTCCTAATAAAAATGAATGGTTATATTAGAAACACTATTCGAAGTTGTTTAATTTCTTTGCTTCGCCTCACCTCCCCC